CCTTAGTAGTTTATTTACTTATTTTCTTTTGTTTCAGAAACAGCTTGTCTGATGTGAACAACATTAAATAAGTTTATATAATTAAATGACATTATAGGGTCGTGAAGGTTGTTGAATTGCTTTTGAAAATATGAATCGATCAATATGAGACCGCTATTAGAAACTTGGAAGCACTGGTCGGTCGTTTCGTCCTGGTATGAGACTCATCAGCAGTGCGCATCCACGACTCGCGCTACTTGCAGGATTTGGGCCTAGGACTTTCGGTTTTGAGCTAATCCTGTTCGTATGTGAAGCTGTGCTCACTGAAGACAGTGAATGAGGTTGAGAAAGATTGTGGTTTGGACATTAACACCGTCGGATGCTGGCTCAGAGTTCTAGAGGTTAAGCGTTCACTTGTAAGACCGGCAGTGCTGGGTTCGAATCCTGTATGTCAGCAGTCGTGGATGAACACTGCTGATGTGTAGTCCCATACCAGGATATAACGGCCTTCCAGTGCTACTGGGTTTCTAATGGTGGTCTAACATTGATCAATTCATGATTTCAAAACTAATCAAATTAGTTAATGTTTCGTTTTGTAAGTAGTTTGATTTCTTCAGTTTAACTAAAAAAATTTCATTTGGATGTTGGTGGAGTTGTTAGTTCAACCAAAGCTTATTAGGAAGCAAAGTGAAAATATGATATCACTTCGTGAAGTCATTGTCTAGCAGTCTAGACAGTAAGCTCAACCTTCCATGTTGTGATCCTTCAAATTGGCTAAAATAGCATACATGCATTCATTGTTTTTATCACTTTAAACCTAGAGCCTAGTGTGTCATTCTGTAATTCCCATTTTTTAGATTTCATTCACTTGTTAATTTTCTTTTTTTAACTGTCCCAACCGTACCTTCTACCTTGACGTGGTGGTCGGGCTTGCCTATCGTGATGACCCAACCGAGCTATACTGGCTGGAACATATGTTCCTCAAGGTTCTACCATGCCCGGCTGGTCGACTGGAGAACGATGAGACTAAAAGCAGCTACCCAAGGTCTGAGGGCAAAGTCGTACTGCTGACTGCAGAGGGGTGTGACAGCAGTGAGGTGTTTCCCTCGGAAAACCAGCATCTTCAGCGATGCCGCCTTCACACAAGGAAGGAAGGGTTAGAAAAGGTCGGCCCTAAAAATGTCACACCTCCCCTAACTCACGGATTTCCGTCTCCTTGGGTAAGGGTGCCCACTAAGGGCCTTTAAGAACGGAGCTAATCCTCAAAAAACATTTCATAAAAAAGCCATGCGTGACTGGCCTCAAGCAGTTGTCCCTTGGGCTCTGCGGTCACGCACCAACACTAATCTATCTTCCTTTTCAGGTTCCTCAAGAAACAACCTTCCACGGTGTGGGCAGCCGGGAAGTGACAACCGCCCTCATACCCGTAACAGTACGCGAGACCAAATTGGTCAAAATCAAATCCTTCCTACACCCCCTAATGTCTCCCTTATCTCCACGACTAACTCTTCTCACATTCATTCATCACAATGCACAGCTAATGCAGACGATACGAGTTCGCGAAACGTCGTTCCTGGTCTCCTTAAACCTCGCTCTAGACTACATGTTGGAGCATTTAATGTACGGACATTGTGTCAAATAGGGCAACAGGCTTCCTTAGCTAGGACTTTAGAAACTCGTGCCATCGATGTATGCTGCGTCTCGGAAACGCGCATACAGGATCCCAGTAAAATTATTAATCTGATTTCACCTTGTCAAAAAGAAGCAGCTCGATTTACTCTTCGTGTATCCGGTAGCCCTGATGCTGCTTCCCGGGGTCTTGCTGGCGTAGGCATAGCATTGAGTCGTAGGGCAGAACAATCTCTCCTTGACTGGGTCCCAATAGATAGTCGATTGTGCGCTGTCCGACTAAACGGGACAGTAAGGACTCGGAAAGATAGGGACAATCGCCGTTGCCTCTTCATCGTATCTGCCTATGCCCCACTGAATGCAGTTCAGACGAGGTTAAGGATGAGTTTTACAGAAAGCTCTCGGACCTCCTCCAAAAAGCTAGGCGCTCTGATATAGTAATAATGGCTGGTGACTTTAATGCTCAAGTAGGTAGACTAAGTGAGCAGGAGAGACACCTAGGTGGATGTTATGGTGTCGCGGCTCAGAGAACAGACAATGGTGACCGTCTGTTACAAGCATGCTCAAACAACCGCCTATTCTTAGCAAACACTAACTTTAGGCATAAGGAAAAGCATCTGTTGACCTGGCGACCTCCAAAGTCGTCTCAACGTTGGACTCAACTAGATCACATTGCCATCAGCCACCGATGGAGGGGTTCGATAGAGGACTGTCGCTCGTTCTGGAGCACATGTCTAGATTCAGATCATGCTCTAGTGCGAGCGCGTATTTGTTTGAAGCTTACTGGGCGTAGGAAAGACACCTCGAGGAAGCCTCTTAGGGTTTTACTTAATGATAATAAGGCGAAAAATATATTTCAGGAACAACTAGAAAGACAGTTAGGTGACCATTTAAGCGATTCCCATCCGGAAGCAGGATGGAATGATATCAAGAAGGCTGTGGAAACAGCAGTGATATCTGCTAGTAAGGTTGACCATAAGGCTAGAATGAAACCGTGGATCTCAGTAGCATCCACCGATCTGATGGATGCCCGAAAACTCATCCCACCTGGCTCTGAACATGATGAAGAACGAAGTCAACTTAGGCGCAGACTTATAAAAAGCCTACGTAACGATCGCGAGCAGTGGTGGGTGGCGAAAGCAAAAGCGATGGAAAAGGCAGCGGCGATCGGCAACAGTAGACAACTTTTCCGCCTTATTAAAGAAACTGGTATTAAGAACCCGAATGTGAGTGAGACTATCTCAGAAAACGACGGGACTCTCACTTATTCTCAATCCAGGAGACTGGATCGATGGGCAGAACACTTTAGGGATCAGTTCAACTGGCCTCGAGCCACTCTTCAGTTACCCACGATCTCCAGTCATCCTGAATGGCAAATCGACCTAAGTCCCCCTAGTCTTAATGAAGTTGAAAAAGCGTTAGGAAATCTGAAGCGAGGACGAGCTGCAGGTCCTGATAGACTGACCCCTGAGATATTTAAAGATGGTGGTCCAGTTTTAGCAGCTAGATTGACTGAGATCTTAGGTAGAATCTGGGAACTGGACGTAATCCCATCCGACTGGTCCCAATCACTGATTGTCCCAATCTATAAGAAAGGACAGAAGTCTTCTTGTGACAATCACAGAGGAATAAGTCTAACTAATATAGTATCTAAAATATTGGCCTCAGTAATACTTCGACGCTTAACGAAAGCTCGTGAAGAGCAGACTCGAGAAAACCAGGCTGGTTTTCGACCTGGACGTGGCTGTATAGACCACATCTTCACACTCAGACAGGTCCTGGAACACAGACACACATTTAGGCGTCCTACAATAGTTGTTTTCCTGGACCTTATTAAGGCGGCATTTGACTCTGTTGATCGTGAGATTCTGTGGCAGTGTCTATCATTGAAAGGTGTACCAAATAAGTACATTAACCTCATACAAGCTCTCTACTTAAACACCACTGGTCGAGTGAGAGCTTATGGCGAACTGTCACCGGAATTCTCTACATCAAGTGGTGTCCGTCAGGGATGTCCACTTTCTCCATTCTTGTTTAATTTTATCATAGACATGCTCCTAGAAATAACCTTATCCTCATCTGAATTTTCTGGAGTAGACCTTCTACCAGGTGGCTCGCTTATTGACTTAGAATATGCCGATGACATAGTCCTACTTGGTGAAGACGCTGACAAAATGCAGAGACTTCTGACCACCCTGAGCAACAATGCAAGCATTTTCGGGATGCGGTTTTCCCCCTCGAAATGCAAAATGTTGCTTCAAGATTGGGTTTCATCGGCACCTGAACTAGTGATAGGGAGTGAAGTGGTCGAACGTGTAGACCGCTTCACTTATCTTGGGAGTCTCATCAGTGCTGATGGCCTGGTGACTGACGAAATCTCAGCATGGATACAGAAGGCTCGATTGGCTTTTGCCAACCTGCGTCACTTATGGCGTAGGCGAGATATCCGTTTGCTGACTAAAGGACGAGTGTACTGCGCAGTGGTTCGCTCCGTCTTACTTTATGGCTGTGAAACATGGCCAATGAGAGTAGAAGATACTCGTCGGTTATTGGTTTTCGATCATAGGTGTCTTCGAAGCATTGCTCGTATATCGTGGGACACCCGAGTGAGCAACGCTGTTATTAGGAAATGGGTACTAGGTAAGAATGGCAGATCAATAGATGAAGTATTGAAACTTCATCAGTTGAGGTGGTTGGGACATGTGTTGCGTATGCCTAACCACCGACTGCCTCGTCGAGCTTTGTTTTGTAGTTTAGGAATAGGTTGGAAGAAAGCTAGGGGCGGCCAGACCAAAACATGGCATAAATCCATGAAGTCATTGACGAGTGGACTTAGCCATGTCGGTAATTGTCGACTACCTGGTTGGGGTCCGCGAGATGATAATAATCGATGGCTAGAGACCTTGAATGACATGGCTCAAAATCGTTCGCAATGGCGCCAGTGCATTTATTCCTTGTGTTCTCTCAAATCTTAATCTTCTCGATTCTTCAACACCTCTAGTTTTTACTTTCTAAACTTATCTCATTGAATCATACTTCTTGAATAATATCTTCTAATCCTAACCTCTCCGATTACTTCTAATACCTTTACTACCTCTTCTACTATTGGATTTGAATTGACAATTATATCTCTGTGCTAATGTGGTATGGCGACATGAACTGATGTACTTACGTACGAAGTTCTACGTTGCAACTGACTGACTGACTGACTTTTTTTAACTGTCCCACTTCGAATTATGTCAATTTCTTGTATACAAATGTGTATCAAGCTGTATGTGCTATTTATGTTCGGTTTGACAGACTTATTGCATATAAATAGTTTACATAAATTAACAATAAAAAAAAATGCATGTATTCACATACCTATGTTTTATGGATTATAATTCTTTTAGGGTAGAGCAACTGATCTAACTAATTTAGAAGCTGCAGCTCGACGTATAGCTAAAGTTTCACGACAACCAAAAGTTATCGTTGAAAAAAGTACAGTACCTGTAAAAGCAGCAGAAACTACCAGTGCAATACTTCAATTTGAAGCGAAATCTCGTCATACAAAAACAGCAACAACTAATGATAATAATAATAATAATAATAAAGTAAGTATATACACACTCTTTCATTGTATATTTGATTACTTTCTTCTATATGTTTCATTTACTAAGCTGATTCTTTTAAAGACAAAAACAAAAGGAATAATGATTTTGTATGTGTTAGGATAAGCGTCCTCCACCTGATTGGATAATAATAATGAAAAATATCCAACATTTTTCTGTTCAACCGGTGGGTCATTAATACAAAATAAATAAATAAATAAATAAATATATATATATATATATATATATATAATTTTAGATGATTGCAATAAAATCCAGTGTAAATCGCATTTTTATGTCTTCTGTCCTGAAATAAAACTAATCTTCAAGCGTTTTTTCTTTGAAGATTGGTTTGTTTAAACAAATTCAACTAGTTTGCTTCTTGTAATTGAATTAGTCTTGTTTACTTCACTATCTGTAATCAATATTCAATAGGTTGTGTTGAATGTACACTAAAAATTGAAAATCCTTGATTAATGCATGAATTTGTTTTTTGCTGGAAATTAAATAATTGATGAGTAGGATCATGAGAAATACCTTTTATGAGATCTGTTTGTTGATAACAGTCAGTCAGTCAGTCAGTCAGTTAGTGACAACGTAGAACGTTGTACGTAAGTACATCAGTTCAAGTTGCTATATCACATTAGCACAGAGATGCAATTGTCAATTCAAATCCCATAGTAATTACTAGACGTAGGAGAGATAAGGGTTTGAAGATATTATTCAAGAAGTAGAATCTAGTGAAATAAACTTTAAAAGGTGGAAGGTAAAGTTGATGAAGAATTCAAAAGATTAGGATTTAAGAGAACACAAAGAATGAATGCATCTGCGCCACTGCTAACGATTTCGAACCATGTCATTCAAGGTTTCTAACCATCGATTACTATCATCTCGCGGATCCCAACCAGATAGTCGACACCTACCAACATAACTCAATCCAGTTGTCATGTATTTTGTAAAATTATCTCATAATGTAGTAATATTCTTTAAAATTCTATTCTATCATTATTATTGTATATATAGATACATATATGACTTGTGACTTATTTGAAAATTTATTTTACTTGAATACTTTTTTTTTGTTATTACTGCTTCCCGACATTTTTTTTTCTATTTATTAGTTGACTTACAAATGATATTTTATATGTTGATTAAAGTGAAACTAATCAAGCGGCATTGATAGTTGATAAAAAAAAACAAGGATATTCATTAAAAGACAAAAAAAGATTTCATTAAAAATATCATAGTATGATAGCTGATAGAATTACTATTCCAGACATACAAATGTACATCTATATGTCTGGAATTGTCTATGCGTTGTAAAAGTTAATGATTGAAATGAAATATAAATGTGTACAGTTATGTCTGCAAGGTTATTTATTTATCTTTCATTAAATGTACGTGTGTGTCTATGTACTTGTGAAGAAAGCATCGTTACAGTGTTTTTTGTTTTACTTACTCGTTTGAAAACTCCCTCTGGGGCTATTGCCAGTTCAAGTCTGGATAAAGGAGGAGGGTTTGGCTTGGGGTTTGCGACTCCATATCGTCGAAAACTAACTTGCTAAAAAACGCTAGTCAGAAAATATAATTCAAACTATTTTAACTCTGCCCTGGAAGTTAGGAGATCTTCATTCATTAGAGTTGTGCCGTCTTATGATGTAAGCGGAGCTCCTTCGGAAGTCGCGAGGCCTATGCCCCTTTTGACAACCAGAGCAATGTGGGAGACAGGAAGACTGTTCCAAAATGCTGAAGAGATGAAAAGATACAACCTGGAGGTGCTTGGAGTTAGTGAAACGCACAGGTTGGACAACTAAGACTGGCTTCAGGAGAGTTGCTGTTATATTCCGACCATGAAAAAGAAAATGCCTCACACACACACACAAAGAGTTGCACTGGCGCTGTCCAAACAAGCACAAAAGTCACTGATAGGATAGGAATCTCATGGATCCAGAATCGTTAAAGCATCGTTCAAAACAAAGAATGAGGGCATCACAATGAGCGTCATCCAATGCTATGCACCTACCAACGACTACAATAAAGATGTTAAACAGCAATTCTACATGAGGCTTCATTATGCCAAGAAGTGGAGACAGGCATGAGAAGAATGAACAAAAATTGGACAGAAATAGAAAACAAAGCCACGACGAACAGAGTAGTCTGGAGAATACCGGTCGGCGGCCTATGCTCTATTGGAGGTAACAGGCGTAAGTAAGTAATTAAGTACTCGTTTTAATCTAAGTTTGTATTGATAAGCTTCTATATCCTTGTTTCAGTATTTTGTCTTTATAAATGACTCATTTATCCCCCATGCTTGTCAATTTTGTTTTAATTAACGAGTATGTGTATCTGTTTTTCTTCTTCTTCTTGATTATACAAAAAAATTAAAAAAAAAGAAGTTAGATGAATTTGTCGTCTTATCAAATCCGGAATTTCTAGCTGAAGGTACTGCTGTATATGATTTATGTCATCCAGATCGTATTCTCATTGGTGGTGATTCACATTCATCATCTGGTAAATTAGCCATTGAAATGTTACGTTGGATCTACTTACATTGGGTACCAACAGAACGTATATTGATTACATCAACATGGTCATCAGAATTATCTAAATTGGTAATTTATTCATTCATTCATTCATAATTATGAATTTTATTGTAGAGCGATTAATATATGGTTGTTTGTTTTTTTTTTTTTGTGCGGGGGTGGTTTGTTGTTTAGGGTTGTTTTTTTCCTCTATATGATCCATTTTACTAATTAACTTCTGTTAAAGTAGCAAATTTCAAATCATTTATATTTTCATTCAAAACTTGTACTTTTATATGTGTTTAGATTCGTTTTGATTTTATTGTTTAGTTCTCTTTGTTTGTTATAACAACTTGGGCTATTTACGTTTATATATGTATTACATCACGGGGTCGTGAAGATTGTTAAGTTACGCAGTTGAAATCATGAATTGATCAATGTTAGACCACCATTAGAAACCTAGAAGAAGCACTGGATGGCCGTTTCGTCCTGGTATGGGACTCATCAGTGGCAGTGCGCATCCATGACTCCTGCACCTCGCAGGACCTTCGGTCTTGCGCGCGAACGTCTAACCTCTGGACCACTGAGTCAGTATCTAACGGTGTTGATGTCTAAATTCGATCGATTCACGGAGTTGCACAACTTCATACACTGTGTTTAGTAGTTACTGTCTACACCCGAACAGGTTGAACTTCACTGGTCACGACTTCCCACTAGGACTCGGAGAAGATTCCTCACGAAGTTAGTCTCTAGTGAGCACAGGTAATTGCATTACGGGGTTGTGAAGATTGTTAAGTTACACATATGACTAGTTTTTAATGTTATAAGAAAGATAATTATATGTAACACTAGGCAAAATTATATTCACTTTGAAATTCTATAAATTTTAATGGTATCTATTACAGGGTCTATAAGGTTAAAATTTATTAACTATACATGTGCCAGTTAGTTTTGTACTACAAAATAACTTCACTATGTACAGATTGCAATTTCGTGATAATTTTAATGTATGTTAACGTCATGCAATTGATCTATAATTATCAGGTGAATTTTAAGTTCTAGTATACATCAAGTCAATCATCGGTTGGTGATTTTGTCATTGAGCCGACTAGAGATGGAAAGCCTGTACTTGTCCCTATCAAGGTTAACATACTTAATGGGTATTGACTACAACAGTTAATAATTATTAAGCAATGTAAAAATTTTTAAACTTATGAAAATCAAGGTCAGTAGAAGGAGAGATATTCCTTTCAGTAACAAAAGTATGATTATATACTTACAAATTGAAATTAGAAAGTGGGTTCGTGTTAGAATAAGTTTCGGGAAAAGTTAATACCTAAACTATTCAAGTGATTTGTTGCAAGAGAAACTGGGTATGATTTTTTGAAGAACAGTTAAAATTTCAAACTAGAATTTTACTATGAAAAGTAAGAAAACAAGTTGACTGAGTTGATCATGGAAAATCAAGTACAACGTGGATTCATTACTTAAAGCCAGGTAATATTGTTCAATTATGTTTGCTAAGGAAAGTGGTCAGTAAGAGTAGAGGATATTCGTAGGTTACTAGTATCCATGTGTCTTTCAAACATTGCCCGTAGATTCTGGGACAGATAAGTAAGCAATGCTGGGGTCAGGAAAAGGGTACCAGGTAGAAATGGATAAGCGATTGATGAAGTATTGAATGTTCATCAGTTGAGGTAATTTGGACATATGTTACGTATGCCCAACCACCGACTTCCCTAACGATCGATGTTTTGTGATGTGGGGGTGGGCTGGAAGATAGTTAGGGGCGGCCAAACCGAAACATGACTCGAATCTATAGAGTCACTGAAAAGTGGAGTAAGCCATGTTTGTACGTGTAGACTACCTGATTGGAGTCCGCGAGACGATAGTAACCGATGGTTAGGGGCCAGGAACAATACGCCTCAAAACCGTTTGCAATGGCGCAGATTCATCCACTCTTTGTATTCTCGTAAATTCTAATCTGAACTCCTCATGACATTCACCTCAATAATGTATTCAATAAATTAATGATCTTAATTAACTTGATAATATGAGTATGAGGGCGGATGCTACTTCTTGGCCGCCCACACCGTGGAAGGGTTCTGATTGTCAGGAGGGGCATCGACCTCATGAGACGTCAATTCTTCTAAATGAAGACCTTCTAACTGCCAGAGCAGAGTTTATATGTTTTGAATTATTTCTTCTTAGCGTTTTTTGGCAAGTTAGTTTTTTCCGGGATGGGGTCGCCAACCCCGACTCCAACCCTCCTCCTTTATCCCGGCTTGGGACCGGCAGTAGCTCTCGAAGGGTCTACAAGCATTAAATTCATTTTCTGGGATGATTTGTGATGACATAAATTGACTTTTAACATTGATTATTTATTTTCTTTTCGTAGTACTTATCATTTACTGATTAATATTTTTTTTATTATTTCATTTATATAGGCAGCTAATGCTTTTCTTGCTCAACGTATAAGCAGTATCAATGCTATCTCAGCTATATGTGAACAAACCAATGCTAATATTAAAGAAGTAGCTAAAGCTATCGGTACAGATCATCGAATTGGTCCATATTTTTTAAATGCTAGTCTTGGATTTGGTGGTAGTTGTTTTCGAAAAGATATATTAAGTTTGGTAATTGAAATAAATTTATTGTTATTATTATTATTGTTTAATAGATTTTATTCAATGAATAAACTACATTCAGTGATCATGCTTGTTGTACATAGTTTGAGAAAATTTTAATAGTAATTTATTATTCACGTTTCTGATTGGTTAACATGAACTTGCATGTCGTTTTCTAACGAATCGATTTACTAAATGGACTTGTTCATTTTAACTGTAATTCTGTTCTTCATCATTATTTTTGACTTTTATTACACATTCTAATTTTGTGGATCATGTTAAAATAATTGAACAAGAACTGGTTGTATATATAAGTAAAGATATTTTATCGTTCTGAAACGTACTGGTTTATGATTGTAGTTGTAAGCAAAAGTACAGATTATATGACTTCTTTCTACAACAATACAAGTATCACATGCTTCATGAAGCATAACACTGCCTGAATGTCTAGCAATTGTGTAAAAGTCATCTATGGTTGATGTGTATATAGGCTCAACTGTAATAGTTCTATGCTCAGTTTTATGCTTGTAGAGCAATCAAGTTTGATGCCAAATATATTAGACACTTCTACAACGTCTATTTAATCTAATCCTGTTCATAGTAGACAGTAATAGATTTCTTCATTTGCGAATCTTTGTGATAATGATGATGATATGACCAAGTGAAATGAATCTAAGAAGCAGTGTTGTATGTAGACGTCGGACTGTAGTGAAAAAATTATACTTATTCAATTATTCACTTAAATAATTATGAAGAGGTCCTGTGTTATGTTAATGACATTTTATTTTTTTTAACAAAATATCAGACATTTATTTCCAAAAATTAGTTGAAACCAAAAAAAGAATTTTCTAAATAATTTCTTTAGGTTTTATTTTATAGTTTGTGTTAAATGTCAGACACACAATTATTACCGGTGTAAAGAATTAGGCAAGAAAAAAATTATTCTCGAAAATAAAAAACATATCCAGGGCATTACAGCTAGTTCTTGTGGCAAAGTAACCAGACATCGATATTGGCTCAATTTATTAAACGTTCAAAAAAAATAATCATAGGCAAACATATGATCAAGAAATAGATCAAAAGGGGGGATACAATCAAACCAAAAGTGCAAACACCTACAGGTTTAAAGTCAACAGCAACCAATCAAGATCGAGCGAGGTTGACAGAACAAGCTACGGGTCAAGCGTCGAGCGATTCGAATACTTCACTTCCATCTGAACTTGTGCTGATAATGTTGTTTGTTCAGAAGAACAATGAAAGCTCCATAACCAAAGCATCCAACTCAGAGAACGAAACACCACCACAACTATTGTATTTACAACTGTGTTTCTCCATGTGTTGCGTGAAAAAAGTGGTTGTTCTTTGTTCAATTACCTCAATTACCCTTGAATATGAATGTATTTTTATACGTAGTTAATTTAAACAGAACAACATCATTGTTTGTTGTATACCACTTCGGCACTTAATCATACGGTATGATTGTGTTGTCATAATAATTAGCTGACTTTGCTCAAATGTTTCAGTTACCCTATTGCTTATTCGCACAAATACTGAAGTAAACTTTCTTGGTTTAAGATTCGTTTTAAACTTGGAAATTCCGAATACTAAACGTATGTATATTTATGCGCTTTCATATGAATCCAACCATTCGTTCGAATGTTAGCTACTGGCAGACCCGAATGCAAACACCACAGCTCGTAGCATCATCTCATCCTTTGTTCATTGACGAAACAAAATACGACTATGAGGTGGTGGAGAACATTTGTAGCTCAGGTGGACGATTGTAGTGGTATTTCGTTCTTTGATCTAGATGTTTTAGTTGTGGAGCTTTCATGGTTCTTCTGAACAAAGTACATCACTAGCACAAACTTCAGATAGAAGTGAAGTATTCGAATTTCTCCAGGTTTGACTCGTCAATAACAGACGCATGAAACAGGTGTCTGATGCTCAATATTATCCCAATTGAGTTCACTCTATAATGAATACATTTCATGAATGAAATTTATCAATCAATGAAACTTCATTGCGTTGCCAATAAAAATTTAAATACTTTTACTGTTAAACTGAAGAAATACAGTATAACACAGTAGTGGTATGATAAGTTCATTGACTATGTGTTTAGTGAAGTAATTCAATTCCAAATAGTACGTTCAAATTGCAACTCTTTGAGTCAAGAATACTCAATAAAGGCGCGATATTCATATGCTTAGTTGAAGAGTGTTTTATTCAGCATACAAGTGACTTTTTTTCATTTCATCTGAACTACCCATAAAACCCATTAGTTTTAACATTCGATAGTGAATGTATTTCTAATTGGTGCTGCTATCAAAGGGGTTGATTCTGTCAAAGTCACTTGTAGAGATAGTGGAGAAAACTTGTAGCTCAGAGAACGAAACACCACCACAAAATCACTTGTCTGTTTGCAACTTTTCATGCTACCAATATGTGTTTCAATCAGTAGTTGTTTTGTTCAATAAGAATGGTAATAGTAATTCAACAAAATGACCATATAACGTCTGAAATTTGTATGCTAAACAGATTTCCACATTTTCTTTTATGTCATCAGTCTTATGCAATATTGCTAAAAATGTTTCGTTACAGTTTAATTGTTATATTTTATTCTCTTAGGTGTATATATCAGAGACATTGAATTTACCAGAAATAGCCTCCTATTGGTATGCTGTATTACAAATGAATAATTATCAAATTGAACGATTTACACGTAATGTCATTGAAAAATTGCATAATACTTTGAAAGGAAAACGTATCGCCATATTTGGTTTCACTTTTAAACCAGACACATATGATACTAGGTTAGAATATGTTTTATATGTTTTATAATGATCATGATTATTGTACTGATTAACAATGTATCCACTAAATCTACATTCCTGATTAATTACAGTTAATTGGATGACCTACACATATTTCACTTGAAATGTGTCTGTTTTTTTTTTAAATCAAGTAAACAAGAATGTTATAACCTTCTTTATGCTTTTCGATTGGATTGTATCACTGTTGTGGTATGTGAGACTTAAGAGTAATGACTGATGGAAGAAGGGTGAACGTTACACATTCTCACTGTTCAATGCATTTGATCCAACCAACTGCTAACTATGAGGAACACAGAAATGGGAAATAAGCAAGGTTTGCAATAACCAAGATTATGCTTAATAGGAAAATGTCAATCTAGTTTTGTTTATATGAAATTCAGCTAGTTATTTCATTTCGGTGTGGTATACGTGTATATTTACATGTACCCGTTTGTTAACATTTGGAAAGGCAGAGAAAACGCAGATGCTTTATTACATACCTCTGCTGATCAATAGTAATACTTTGTAAAGTGTGTATGTATTCGCAATAAATAGCTAGTTTTGAAATTTCTCAACGATAATTTTACTCTATTTCTGTTGCCAAATTTTGATAGGATGTTTCAGGAAAAATTTACATTTTGTAGCTATGTGTTTGTACATAGTTATATAGAAGCTGACAAATGTTTTACTGTTTCATTATACATTTATGGAGATTGTTGTTTCTCAATGAAATCGTGAATCAATGATTATTAGACCAGCATCAGAAACCTGAAAGTACTGGATGGCCGTTTCATTTTGGTAGGAGACTCTTCAGCAGTACACATCCACGATCCTCGCTCGCAGAAATCGAACCTAGGACCTTCTGTTTCGTGCGAAAACGCCTAAGCTCCAGACCACTTAGCCGGGATCCAACTAAGTTAATGTCTAAATTAGATCAAGCTAAGGTTTTGCACTGTATACTATTCAAATTCGTAGACAGTAATACACCCACGTATTAGGCAACTTGCACAGTAATCAAATACCATTTTTTTGTGTTAGTGTATTATATAATATTTTTGTCTATTAATACGTTGGCTAGTTTAAATCTTGATTTCATCAAAGCCACCCTGACTTGTACTCACATTGTTATCGTTTTTTTCATTTCTCAATAGAGATAGTCCTGTCATACCATTATGTAATCAGTTATTGCAAGAACAAGCGGAACTGGCAATCTATGATCCTAAAGCTTATCACAAACAAATTGAATCTGATTTATTAGTCAGTAATAGTAAAGATTCATGTAAGTAATATAATGTGTATTTTTCTTTTGAAAGAATTTTTTCAATCATGTCCATTCCATTTGTTTGATTTCACCACTTAACATAAGAATAACTTTGAATTTTAAAAACTTTAATCCATAAGAAATTCGAAAAAAAGTATCAAATTACTTGTTGATTGGGTATAAGAGTACAATAATTGTTATTGTTATCATTATTATCGTTCAAATATAATTTCTCATTAATAAGTGACCATCTATTGATTTACACATATTGAAATCATGAATTAATCAATGTTAGATCACTATTAGAAACCTGGAAGCACTGGACGGCCGTTTCATCCTGGTATGCGACTCATCAGCAGTGCGCATCTACGACTCCTGCACCTCGCAGGATTCGAACCCATGACCTTCGGTCTTGTGTAACTTAACAATCCTCACAACTCAGTAATGTAATTACCTGTGCTCACTAGTGACTAACTTCGTGAGGAATATTCTCCCAGTTCTAGTAGGAAGTCATGACCAATGAAGTTCAACCTGTTCGGGTGTAGACAGTAACTACCGAAGACTGTGTATGAGGTTGCGCAACTCCGTGAATTGATCGAAGTTAGACATTAACACCATTAGATACCAGCTCTGTAGTCCAGCGGTTAGACGTCCGCGCGTAAGATCGAAGATCCTGTGTTTGAATCCTGAGGGGTTCAGGAGTCGTGGATGCGCACTGTTGATGAGTCAGTCCCGTACCACGACGAAACGGCCGTCTAGTGTTTCCAGGTTTCTAATGGTGGTTGAACTTTGATCGATTCATGATTTCGAATGTGTAACTTAACAATCCTCACAACCCCGCAGTGCAATATATATATCAACGTAAGTAGCCAAAGTTGTTATAATAAACAAAGAGAACTAAACAATAAAATCAAAACGAATCTAGACACATAAAAAAGTTCAAGTTTTGAATGAAAATATAAATGATTTGAAATTTGCTACTTTAACAGAAGTTTATTAGTAAAACGTATCATATAGAGAAAAAAACAACCCTATTCAACAAACCGCCCCCGCACAAAACAAACAAACAACCGTATATTAATTGCTCTAGAATAAAATTCATAATTATAGATGAATGGATAAATTACCAATTTGGATAATTCTGATGGTAGTCTAACATTGATCGATTCATGATTTCCCCAACCGTAGCTGCTACCTTGACGTGGTGGTCGGGCTTGCCTATCGTGATGACCCAGCCGAGCTATACTGGCTGGAACATATGTTCCTGCAGGTCCTACCATGCCAGACAGGTCGATTGGAGAACGATGAGACTAAAAGCAGCTACCCAAGGTCTGAGGGCGAAGTCGTACTGCTGACTGCAGAGGGATGTGACAGCAGTAAGGTGTTTCCTTCGGACAACCAGCATCTGCAGCGATGCTGCCTTCTCACAAGGAAGGAAGGGTTAGAAAAGGTCGGCCCTAAAAATGTCACACCTCCCCTAACTCACGGATTTCCGTCTCCTTGGGTAAGGGTGCCCACTAAGGGCCTTTAAGAACGGAGCTAATCCTCAAAAAACATTTCATAAAAAGGCCGTGCGTGACCGGCCTCAAGCAGTTGTCCCTTGGACTCTGCGGTCACGCACCAAGACTAATCTATCTTCCTTTTCAGGTTCCTCAAGAAACAACCTTCCACGGTGTGGGCAGCCGGGAAGTGACAACCGCCCTCATACCCATAACAGCACGCGAGACCAAATTGGTCAAAATCAAATCCTTCCTACACCCCCTAATGTCTCTTTTATCTCCACGACTAACTCTTCTCACATTCATTCATCACAGTGCACAGCTAATGCAAACGATACGAGTTCGCGAAACGTCGTTCCTGGTCTCCTTAAACCTCGCTCTAGACTACATGTTGGAGCATTTAATGTACGGACATTGTGTCAAATAGGGCAACAGGCTTCCTTAGCTAGGACTTTAGAATCTCGTGCCATCGATGTATGCTGCGTCTCGGAAACGCGCATACAGGATCCTAGTAAAGTCATTAACCTGATTTCACCTTGTCAAAACGAAGAAGCAGCTCGATTTACTCTTCGTGTATCCGGTAGCCCTGATGCTGCTTCCCGGGGTCTTGGTGGTGTAGGCATAGCATTGAGTCGTAGGGCAGAACAATCTCTCCTTGACTGGATCCCAATAGATAGTCGATTGTGCGCTGTCCGACTAAACGGGACAGTAAGGACTCGGAAAGATAGGGACAATCGCCGTTGCCTCTTCATCGTATCTGCCTATGCCCCCACTGAATGCAGTTCAGACGAGGTTAAGGATGAGTTTTACAGAAAGCTTTCGGATCTCCTCCAAAAAGCTAGGCGCTCTGATATAGTAATAATGGCTGGTGACTTTAATGCTCAAGTAGGTAGACTAAGTGAGCAGGAGAGACACCTAGGTGGATTTTATGGTGTCGCGGCTCAGAGAACAGACAATGGTGACCATCTGTTGCAAACATGCTCAGACAACCGCCTATTCTTAGCAAACACTAACTTTAGGCATAAGGAAAAGCACCTGTTGACCTGGCGACCTCCAAAGTCGTCTCAACGTTGGACTCAACTAGATCACATCGCCATCAGCCACCGATGGAGGGGTTCGATAGAGGACTGTCGCTCTTTCTGGGGCACATGTTTGGATTCAGATCATGCCCTAGTGCGAGCGCGTATTTGTTTGAAGCTTACTGGGCGTAGGAAAGACACCGTAAGAAAGCCTCTTAGGGTTTTACTTAATGATAATAAGGCGAAAAATACATTTCAGGAACAACTAGAAAGACAGTTAGGCGACCATTTAAGCGATTCCCATCCGGAAGCAGGATGGAATGATATCAAAAAGGCTGTGGAAACAGCAGTGATATCTGCTAGTAAGGTTGACCATAAGGCTAGAATGAAACCGTGGATCTCAGTAGCATCCACCGATCTGATGGATGCCCGAAAACTCATCCCACCTGGCTCTGAGCATGATGAAGAACGAAGTCAACTTAGGCGCAGACTTATGAAAAGCCTACGTAACGATCGCGAGCAGTGGTGGGTGGCGAAAGCAAAAGCGATGGAAAAGGCAGCGGCGATCGGCAACAGTAGACAACTTTTCCGCCTTATTAAAGAAACTGGTATTAAGAACCCGAATGTGAGTGAGACTATCTCGGAAAAGGATGGTCTTATTATCCATTCTCAATCCAGGAGACTGGACCGATGGGCAGAACACTTTAGGGATCAGTTCAACTGGCCACGAGCCACTCTTCGGTTACCCACGATCTCCAGTCATCCTGAATGGCAAATCGACGTAAGTCCCCCTAGTCTTAATGACGTTGAGAAAGCGTTAGGAAATCTGAAACGAGGACGAGCTGCAGGTCCTGATAGACTTACCCCTGAGATATTTAAGGTTGGAGGTCCAGTTTTATCAGCTAGGTTGACTGAGATTTTAGGTAGAATCTGGGAACTGGACGTAATCCCACCCGACTGGTCTCAATCCTTGATTGTCCCAATCTATAAGAAAGGACAAAAGTCTTCTTGTGACAATCACAGGGGAATAAGCCTAACTAACATAGTACCTAAAATATTGGCCTCAATAATACTTCGACGCTTAACGAAAGCTCGTGAAGAGCAAACTCGGGAAAACCAATCTGGTTTTCGACCTGGACGTGGCTGTATAGACCACATTTTCACACTCAGACAGGTCCTGGAACACAGACACACATTTAGGCGTCCTACAATAGTTGTTTTCCTGGACCTTAAGGCGGCATTTGACTCAGTGGATCGTGAGGTTCTGTGGCAGTGTCTGTCATTGAAAGGTGTACCAAAGAAGTACATTAAACTTATACAAGCCCTTTACTCGAACACCACTGGTCGAGTAAGGGCTTATGGCGAACTGTCACCGGAATTCTCTACATCAAGTGGTGTCCGTCAGGGATGTCCACTTTCTCCATTCTTGTTATTAGAAAATATGGAATGTTGCAACGCATTCTTCTACTAGATCCACTGAAATTGTGAGTTGCGGTGGTGTTTCGTTCTCTGAACTGGATATTTTGGTTGTAGAGCTTTCATTGTTCTTCTGAACAAATAACATCATCAGCATAAAAACTTCAGATAGAAGTGAAGTATTCGAAGTGCTCCAAGTGTATGACCCGTAGCTTGTTCTGTTAACCTCGCTGGATCTTGATTGGTTGCTGTTAACTTTAAACTTGTCGTTATTTGCAACTTTGTTTTGATTGTATCCCCCTTTTGATCTATTTCTTGATCCTATATTTTGCTCATGATATTTTTTCTTATTGCTTGATAACTTGCACGCTTATTCATTTATGACATATTACTGATCATTATCTATGTAGGTATGAGATGTTTAGTATGGGATTAATTTTATTCAAATATAACATTATGTCTGTATACCAAATAAAAGCACCGTTGTTTCTAAAGTCATTTTGATGTGTAGACTAACAGTCTAACTTACAAATCGCGACTACTACTTCCTATTTATACATGCAGTTACATATGTAAATTGACAAACACAATGGGACGTGATGTACTCCTTTAAATAGGGTTCAGATATATTTTTAACCATAAACTTCGTATTTTTCTACAATAGTGGCCTATACAGCAAAGGTCACTGTCATGAAAAAAACCTGGATACATACTTTGCCAGAAATCTAAAAATCATCTTTATTTATAAATGTGGAAGACAGTATACATGATCTCGATGTCTACACATCCACTAATATTTCCTAATTCTCCAGTATATTAAAAAACTGCTGTTTTTGTAATTTGTCACACTACAACATTCATCCATTCACAAACACTTAGAAAATAAATAATGAATAGTATTTATCAATTGAATTTCAAAGCTTACTGATAAAACTACCATCATCTGTAAAATATTAAGCTACACTGAATTTAACTAATCAAATAATAAAAATGATAAGACGTAATTGATCTGAAAAATGTGATGTATTTGAGCTATACATTTTGACACAGTATGGTCACATATATATGCACTTGTCAAGGCATTTTATCTAAAGATAAATAAAAGGTCAATTAAATAAAAGTTCAAATAGACAAGGTGATAATTATAAATGAAGGAGAGAGAAAATTAACGTAATAGAGTAAGAATAAGAAAGGTTAGGAAATTGTCACATTACCCTAGACCATAAAATGGCTTAAAGATTGCTAGGGTAAACTCAAGGGTCCGAATCCTGCGGGGTGCAGGAGTCGTGGATGCGCACTGCTGAGGAGTCCCATACCAGGAAGAAGCGGCCGTCCAATGCTTCCAGGTTTCTAATGGTGGTCTAACATTGATTAATTCATGGTTTCAAAAATTTATAAGAAATTGTTTCTGAACACAATGGGGGGTTTTAATTCACGAAAAGCCAAAACTTCCATAAACCTCAAAATTCGTCCTTCAACGTTTTTATGCAATGTTTGCAAGTCTGTCTTGATATCAATCTCATGTCCTGTCTCAATTATATGTTTTGCAATCGATGAACATGGTTTCGTACTTCTCATGTTTATCGGGTCATCTGACATTAACTGATTTTTAAACCACATAGGTACATGTTTCATAACCCTTGATTGCAAAATCCGATTACTCCTCCCTATGTATGTATGTCTATACAAACATGTGAGTTGATAAAGGCAATGGGATGTGATGTAATCGTTTGAGCAGTGTCTAGGTCTATGTGGAACCACGGACTCAGTCTTTTTAATTATAATCAGTTTAGCAGCGTAGTATGTTTTCTCCATGACTGCTTTTAGTTGCTGTCCTAAGATGAAACCATTTGATTTGCATCTACATAGTAAAGTGATATGAACAGCTTTCTTTTCGTGGTGGTGTTTCGTTCTCTGAGCTGGTTGTTTCGGTTGTGGAGCTTTCATTGTTCTTCTGAATAACATCTTCAGCACGAACTTCTATCTGAAGTTCATGCTGATGATGTTATTCAGAAGAACAATGAAAGCTCCACAACCGAAACAACCAGCTCAGAGAACGAAACACCACCACAATCATCCACCTGAGCTACAAGTTTTCTCCACCAGCTTTCTTTTCAACAGAATAGAAGATAGACTTTTGTCTTAACTGATTTCTATACTTATTGATGAACTTCAGTGGATAACCGTTTGAAGTCAATGTTTCAGTGGAGAATTTCGCACCGTCTTCAAATGTATTCGTGGTGCGAATTCTTTGTGCCCTATTGAAGATGAATTTTACCAAGTCTCGCTTGTGTTGCAATGGACAAAAACTGCTGAAATTTAAATACTGTCTAGTCCAGGTTGACTTTCTATAAACTGACCGCTTCATAGTTTCATTCTCTCTCCACTCAACAACATGTCTGAAAAGGGAAATCGGTCATTACTTTCTGCTTCGTGAGTTAGGACAATATCATTGTGATGACCATTGAGATTATTCAGTAACTGAGAGATGTTGAAATCTTTATCCCATACTACCAAAATATCATCCATATATCTCCTTTACAGAATAACCATACTGATGGGCTCACTCAACAAATTTTCGACATATGAAATATATACATCAGCTAAGAGAGACGTCCCAAAGGACTACCCATAGCAATGTCATCAACTTGTTGAAAATATTCACCATCAAACGTGAAATGAACTCTTTCAGTACATGATAAAAGTAGTTCTCTTACTAGGGTTGAACGAGTAGAAAAAAGAGAGAAATTACTCCAAATATAGTCACAAAGTAAGTTAACAGTTTTCATCAGGGGTACATTGGTAAAAAGGCAGTTTATATAAAAAAAAATTCATAGTATTTCTTTTAATAATAATGTCATCAAAAACATCAATTAGTTCAAATGTATTTCTCAGGGGAAAACTTACACAATTTACTACGGATTGGGCTGAATAATTAAGCTAACTATTGCGCTAGCTTATGTGTAGGTGAGCTGCATATAAATAATATTGATCGTAATGGATCGTTAGGTTTATGAATTTCAGGTTATTCATATAAATTCAGGAGTTCAGAACCGATGGGTTTTAACATGTTGAATTCATCCTTGTCAATAAGATTCATTTTGAGAAACTTCATTAGATAGGAGTTAACTCTCGATTCTAATTTTCTAACCTCATTATTAGATGAAACGTCCGTCAAAAACTTGTTTTCATCACTAAGGACGGGAAACATTTTTCTTTTTACCGTCTTGTTGCAACCAGTCCAGATAATCAAAACTGGTTGAAGGCGAAATTGGTTGATATGGCGCATCAATTTCGCGGTTGTAAAATGAGATACAGCAATCTTTTGACATTAAATCATTTGAGTGCTTTAAGGAATCTTCATAAAAGTATAGATATTGTGATTTCCAAAGCAGACAAAGATTTTGGCGTAGTTTTAATGAATTTAATATTACCATAAAAATAAAATCTTATCTATCCACAGAGAAAATATACTACGCTGCTAAACTGATTATAATTGAAAAGACTAAGCCCATGATTCCACGTAGACCTAGACACTGCTCGAATGATGACATCACATCCCATTGCATTCATCAATACACATGTTTGTATGGATACACATACATAGGGAGGAGTAATCGGACTTTGCAATCAAGGGTTACGAAACATGTACCTATGTGGTTTCAAAATCAGTTAATGTCAGATAACCCGATAAACGTGAAAAGTACGAAACCATGTTCATCGATTGCAAAACACATAATTGAGACAGGATATAAGATTGATATCAAGACAGACTTCTAAACATTGTTTAGAAACGTTGAAGGACGAAGTTTGAGGTTGATGGAAGCCTTGGCTATTCGTGAATCAAAACCCCCCTTATGTGTACAGAAACAATTTCTTATAACCTTGAGTTTACCCTAGCAATCTTTAAGCCATTTTATGGTCTAGGGTAATGTGACAAATTCCTAACCTTTCTTATTCTTACTGTATTACGTTAATTTTCTCTCTCTCCTTCATTTATAATTATCACCTTATGTCTATTTGAACTTTTATTTAATTGACCTTGTAATAATGTCATATAAAATGCCTTGACAAGTGTATATATATGTGACCATATTGTGTCAAAATGTATCGCGCAAATACATCACAACATTGTTCTGATCAATTCTGTCTTTTCGTTGTTTTGTCAAAATAATGATTATATTAAATTGTTGTAATCAATTTCAGGTTCTTATTATCAGCATATTATCCCATATAATTTACGTACATAAATGGCACTTTTTAAAGCTACGTTCCCGCTGATACTGTTCCCCTAATATAATGTTTATCACTGATTCACTATTTTTCACATTATAGTTTATAAATTATGTAAATAATTGCAGGTTACATTTAACTATCACAAACTTGTTAACGAGTATAGTGAATATTACTCACAATGTGGCCTATAACTAGTATGCAGCGTATTGTTTCGCCTAGAAGTGGCTACCAGAGAGAAATTGATCGATCGATTAAGCGATCAGGATTCATGGCGTGATCAGGATTTATTTAAGATCACGGGGAGATTTGAAAGAGGATAGTTAATATACTGCTTAAATGGATGCTTGAATAATATGTATACATATTTTGTAAACAAATAATTAGACTTCTTTGTATACTACACTAGTAAGAAACTGATTTTTTTTTCTTAAATATTGTTAGTGTACACGTAAATCCGATAAAGTGTTAGCCATGTTGTCTAGCAACAACAATAAAACTGAACACTACCATACACCTGAACTACAAAATCTTTTTTTCACAATCTTCATATCGATCCTCATTATTCAGTTCACTATCTTTGCTACTGAGTTAAAATAGTTGGCAATACTCATAATTAGATGATTACGTTTTGTCTTTCAGGTCTTTTTGATCATATTGAATATCTTCACTGGTTTTAAATTTTTTTGTATGTGTATTTTAGTTAATCAATTTGTTCATATTTGTTCTACTCCGGAAGAAGCTGTCACCAATGCCTATGCTATTCTAATATGTACAGATTGGAAATGTTTTCAAGTGAGTTTTTCTCTTTTCTTTTTTTGTGATGTCTTAAAATCCCATACGTCCACAATGAACATGAAAGCTCAGCTGTTGGGCTTCATTAGTTTCAATGAAGTGAAGTAAGGCACTGATAGTTAACTATCGACAGTTATCAGTGAGTTACATTTGTGTAATCATTCTTGTACACACTGTCATTAACTATACACACTGTAGTCTTCAAATAAACCGATAAGCCAGTAGTACATTCGTTTTCATACACTATCCTACTGAAGGTGAACGAAACCATTGTAGTCTATATGGAGAGTTTAATATCGATATCGGTAAATTTTGTCTAGACTAAATTTCTACTAATTTTTGTTAGATAATTAAAAGTAGACGATAGCAAATTTTAGATCTGCTAAAAATGAATATTTGTAGAAAAAAATCTCTATTCAAATAAGCATATGATTCAAATGTTTAAAAAAAGGGTTATTTGTTCATTTATATTGGAATTGTGAATTAGTCATTGTTAGACCATCATTAGAAATCGAGAAACACTGAACGGCAGTTTCGTCTTAGTATGGGACTATTCAGCAATGCACATCCAGAATCCCCGTTCTCGGGACTCGAACCCAGGACCTTCGTTCCTATGCGCGAACCCTTAACCTCTAGACCACTGAGCCGGCATCCAACGGTTAGTCAGTCAGTCAGTTACAACGTAGAACTTCGTACGTACATGCATCAATTCAGGTTGCCATACCACATTAGCACAGATACTCAATTTTCACTTCAAACCCCATAGTAGTAGAGGTAGTAGAATCATTAGTAGTAATCAGAGAGATTAGGGTTCGAGGATATCATTCAAGAACTAGAATGTAGTGAAAAAAACTTCAACAGAAAAAGATAAATGTAATAAGGAGTTCATGAGGTTAGGATTTGAGAGAACACAAAAAATGAAAGCACCCACGCCATTGCAAACGATCTCGAACCATGTCTTTCAAGGTCTGTAACCATCGTCTCGTGAACCCCAACCAGGTAATGGACGCCTACCAACATGACTCAGTCCACTTGTTAGTGACTTCAGGGATTTGTGCCATGTTTTGTTTTGGCCGCCCTCAGCTTTCTTCCAATCTATTCCTACACCACAAAACATAGCTTGACGAGGCCGTCCTGGTTACGCACACACAATACATATCCCAATCACCTCAAGTTTAAATACTCCATCTATTGATCTGTCATCCTTACCTATCACCCGTTTCCTAACAACAGCATTGCTTACTCGGTTGTCCCGCAATACACGAGCAATGCTTCGGAGACACCTATGATCGTAAACCAGCAACCTACGAATATCTTCTACTCTGACTGGCCATGTTTCACAGCCATAGAGTAGGACGGAGCGAACTACTGAGCAGGTGACTCGTCCTTTGGTTAGCAAACAGATATATCGTCTATGCCGTAAGTGACGCAAGTTGGCAAAAGCCAATCGAGCCTTCTCTATCCATGTTGAGATTTCGTCAGTCACCAGGCCATCAGCACTGATGAAACTCCCTAGATAAGTGAAGCGGTCAACACGCTCAATCGTTTTACTCTCTATCACTAGTTCAGGCGCTGATACAAGCCAATTTTGAAGCAACATTTTGCATTTCGAGGAGAAAATCGACATCCCGAACTTGGTTGCATTGTTGCTTAGGGTAGTCTAGAGGCACTGCATTTTATCACAGCATCTTCACCCAATTAGAAATATGTCCTCGTCAAATTCTAAGTCAACCAGTGAATCTCCTGGTAAGAAGATCCACTCCTCAAACGTCAGACGAAGATACTGAATGTTATATCTAGAAACAGATCCAAAAGTGTTAATGTCTAACTTTGATCAATCTAACGATTTTACACAACCTCATCGATTGTCTTCGGTTGTTACTGCCTATACCCAACAGGCTTGAACTCAACTGGTCACAGCCTCGTTAAACTAAACTAAAGCTCATTTTCATAAACTTCCTTTTGTTCAAAATAAAATTTGCATTACGGCGTTGTGAAGCTTGTTAAGTTACATATTTTTTGAAACCATGAATCGACCAATGGTAGGCCACCATTAGAAACCTGGTAGAAGCACTGAAAGACAAGAGTCGTGGATGCACACTACCACTGATGAGTCAGTCCCATACCAGGACGGAACGGCCGTCCAGTGCTTCTTTCAGGTTTCTAATGGTGATCTAACATTGATCGATTCAAGGTTTCAAAATAAAATGGTCAATCAATAGAACATTGTACATTGTTTACAATTATTATTTTCCGCTAATTTATTTCTTTTTCTACACATTTTTTTTTCTTCTCTCTCTCTCTCTCTCTCTCTCTCTCTCTCTCTCTATTACCTAAAGGCATATGATTATGCGAAATTTTATCGTTTAATGATTAAACCAGCAAGAATATTTGATGGACGTATTATATTAAATCATAAACAATTAAGTCAAATTGGTTTTATAGTTGAATCCATTGGTATAGCATCAGAAAATTTTACAATGAATGGTTATAATTGAATAATTATAATAATAATGCACAGTGTAAACCAATCATGATAATGATAATAATCTCATTTGATGGTGATAATATTTGATCTTTTATGGTGTTTTATTATGCCTCTCTTTTCTTTTCTAATTTTGATTTCTTTTTGTGAACTGTGACTTGTTGGTGTGTGACTGTAGATTTCTATTGTAATTATCACTAAATCATGTGTTTTTTATCTTTTAAAACTGTGTATTCTTCTCATTAAATCATGTACATTCACATATAAATGATGTTACTACAACTAACTAACTTACTTACTTACTTACTTGTATCTTCTGGATGATGATGACTTTCGTAGTTCTTCAAGTTTCCACTTCATACACTGAGTAGAACTGTCTTGACATATTTGTATTGAAAATCCTGACTATGGTATTTGTTGACAATTGTTTGTAGTTCCAAATATTTTTCAATTGACCTGTTCCTGCAAACACCAAAAGTCAAAAAATCATTGTATGTTTGTGTGTGGTGAGTGTCTGTATGCGATTTGCTTCATATTGACTAAATAGAGACATTATACTTATTCAAACTTGAATGCACACTCTGTTAGCCAGTAATATCTGTTGTTCGAAATCATCTAATGATGTATTGTTTATCCTCTGGGGATTTTATTCTGTAATTATTTCAATTAGGAAATTATTTGTGTATATTGTTAATTTTATCACTGATGACAATTTATTCAAATGTTGTGTAATCTATGATAAATGATGACGCTTAACCGTGACAAGTTTATTCTTACGTATATACACAGATACGTTTAACCTACTACTACTACTACTACTACTTCCACTACTAACACTACTACTACTACTTCCACTACTAACACTACTACTACTGACACTAATACTACTACTACTAACACTACTACTACTAACACTAATACTACTACTACTATTACCACTACTATTACTGCCACTACTACTACTACTACTACTACGACTACTACTACTACTAACACTACTACTATTAATTATCATGTATTCGTTCCTCAAATCATCATGTTTATGCACTAGACAGTGTAATTCCTTCTTTCTTTCTTTTCTGTTACTTGTCATTTCCTCTGTCAACAGTTAATGATAATAATAATAATAATAATGACCCAGTGAATTATGATGATTGAATGATTTTTTATTTCAATAGTTATTTTTTATGAATTTTCTTTTCTTTTTACTGGATATCTCTACTGTTCTCATTCGCTTGTTTTTTGAAATTCAAAACAAAAATTTAAAAGAAAAAAATTCATTCCAAGCATGTTTTTTTTTGTACTGTGAATACTTACTCTATGAGATGAATAGGTTGTGATTTTATGTCTTTTATGTCAACAATACACACATATATGTACAAATGCTGTAGACGATATTTACTGTATATTGCATAACAAAAATAGTGTGTTTTATTAAAAGAAAAAAATATATATATTTATATATATATATTCCAGTTTTAATATTGTGCCTTCACTATCTGCAATAATCCTTTGTTTTGTCTTTTTAAATTGTGTGTACTTTTTAAAATAGTTTTAATGTTTTCTCATGAGAATAAACAACGAATATTGATATTTGTATTGTGTTTTTTTTTAAAATTAATTTTATAGTTTAATGACAGAGGTTTATGAAACCGCTGTAGTGAAGGAGAACACAGGTGAGGGCAACCGAATCGTATTTATCTCAATTACAGAGTTAATTGGTAAAATAGGAAAACCATATCGTAAATCGTTAATTTTCAAAATATCAATCCATCATATCGAACTGGACTGTTCCTGTCGCAAACATCAATCCATTGTCTGACATTTCACTGTTCATGCGTTTCATACAAATCCCATTGTGTTCCCGCTCTTTCTTTCTTGATCTTCCCCCAACTGCTGCTGCCAGACATTACGTTTTTACTCGCGTCATATACTACTTATAAGTAGCTCGCACCACACCGCGATAGACAAAACGTTTTAACAAATCAACTTGCATGTTGATACTGATTTATTATCAGAGTAAATGATAGAAAACTAAGTCATATTTCCAAACAAAAATATCAATCGAATCTTAACTTGCATCGATTTCATTATGTAGATAAAAGAAAGTCGTGACCAGTGAAGTTCTACCTGTTCGGGTGTAGACAGTAACTACCGAACATAGTGTATAGGTTGTGCAACTCCGTGAATTGATCGAAGTTAGACATTAACACTGTTAAATACCGGCTCAGTGGTCCAGAGGTTAGACGTTCGCGCGCAAAACCGAAGGTCCTGGGTTGGAGTCCCGTGAGGTGCAGGAGTCGTGGATACGCACTGCTGATGAGTCAGTCCCATACCAGGACGAAATGGCCTTCCAGTGCTTCTTCCAGGTTTATAATGGTGGTCTAACATTGATCGATTCATGATTTCGAATATGTAACTGAACAATCTTCACAACCCCGTAATGCAAAAGAAATAATGTTTCAATTTTCAACAAGACTGTTTACCTAGAATCCATAACCAATTGTTTGATATAAAAAGTCAAAAGTTTTATTTATTGATCAATTTAGGTAAAATGTCGCTCTAATCTTGTGGTATTGGTTTCGTTGGTGAGTTAATGTTCAGAACACTTGGCTTTCAAGATGTAGATCTCACGATCGAATCCCGCCCCTATACAGATAGTTTTGTTTTGAACTTAGTACTTGCTTTGCGTTATTCATGTTGAGTGAGTATGTAATTTTTTCTTATTCCTAATCTTGTAATCATTGATTTATGTTTCAACAGAATTTGTGTACATGAAAACCTTCGTCTGACATTTCACTATTCATGCGTTTCATACAAATCCCATTGCGTTCCCACTCTTCCTTTCTTGATCTTCCCCCATCTTCTGCTGCCAGACATTACGTTTTCACTCGCATCATATACTACTTATAAGTAGCGCGCACCACAAACCAATCATAATTGATTCAATTGTTGAAGCGGTTAACAGTCACATAGCTGCTATTCAGAAACATCATTCTTTGATTGCATGTTCAAATATCTATACGATGACTATCTCAATATCCCGGTGTATGAAGTGGGTGTACTGAATTAAAATCTTAGCATACATATTGAACCTATGATTCAATTTACATCTAGGTAACAATTATGAAATAGGCATTTAGTGAGTGTATTTTTGTATAATTTGTACAATTTTCGCAATAAATTTTTGAACAGATTTCTTCATTGGAACGATTTTTCTACAAATAAAATATAACATTGACATTTCACAGTTTTTTTACATCAAACACAGAAAATTTATCATTCTTTTTTTTAAATTTTACCCCTTGAAACATGAAAGTTAACGTTTACAAATGATTATAAAACTTGAGATAAATTTGTATTAGATTAAAAATTAAAAATAACAATTCCTTTAAATCATAATAAATCGATGTAAACTTTTCCAGAATAATCGGAAAAACATATGAACATATGCATTATTTTTGAATGTTGTTCAATAAAGCGGCATATTACTCTTTGTATATTGGTAAGTATGTCCAAATAGTAGTTCAAGGCAAGAAAAAAGCCTATTCTATTTGAGTAACCTGGTAACATGCTTACCAGATAGATATAAGGCTGCGTCGTAATGACCAGTAGAAAATAGGTGAGTTATATCTAGTGAAATTCTGACGTACAGATTGCTATTCAATTAGTCAATGTTCAGTTTCATTAACTGTTAAGTTTCTTGGATGTGACTTATTGATAACATATACCAGTGTATATCAATTGAACTTAGTAGAGTTGAGTAAAACCAATTACCGCATGTCTGATCAATTGATGTTCAATCTTTTGACAATGTTTACAGATACGTTAAAGACTGATTGAAATAATAGAGACGATTACTATTGTAGCTGCGACTAACAATAATAATTATATATCAGACGTCTTATTTATGCATGTTATAGTAAAACCAATTTTCTGAATTCACTTCAGATAGATGAGAACCACAGAAAAGAACCTAAATATTAATTTAGAAATATATTGTTATGTTACTTACTTATTTACTTACGCCTGTTACCCCCAATGGAGCATAGGCCGCCGACCAGTTTTCTCCAACCAACTCTATCCTAGTTTTCCCTTTCCAATACTGTCCAATTTTTGTTCATTCTTCTCATATCTTTCTCTATTTCACGGCGTAATATGTTCATTGGCCTTCCTCTTTACGTTTCGCCTCGAGGGTCCCATGTGAGGGCTTGTCTTTTGACACAGTTCGATGCTTTTCGTAGTGTGTGTCCTATTCACTTCCACCTGTTCTTCCTGATTTCCTCTTCCACTGGAATCGTGTTTGTTCTCTCCCACAGTAAATTGTTGCTGATGGTATCTGGTCATATTACTTGTTAATATTTCATTAGACAGTGTTGTATACTTCTATTTGTGTTTGCCTGTAAAGCACTAATAATTAACATTTTTGAACTAAAAACTTGGAAAATTTCATGCAAACAACTGCTTCTTTTTTGTTTCTTGTATTGTTGCCTTGTTTAGTTGTCTACTTTAATTGTACTAGAATGTTCAGACCAAATGGTCACTTTTTACTGAGTTTGGTCGTTCTCACTTCAGATACATATTTCTGTCTTCAACTGTTATATATCAATGTTTTACCATAATTGATAAGGGTATATTTCATACGTAAAAAGATTCAAATTGCAAATTAAAAATATCACCCAGAAACATTTTAATTCTGAAATTTCTTAGTGACCATAGATGTCACAGTGTGGTGAATGAGAACACAGGTGGGGCAACCGAATTGTATTTAGCGAAAATTACAGAGTTACTCAGTATAATCGGAAAACCATATCGTAAATCGTTCATTTGCAAAAGATCAGTTCATCCTATGGAACTGGACTGTTCCTGTTGCAAAACATCAATCCATTGTCACTATTCATGCGTTTCATACAAATTCCATTGTTTCCTAACTCTTCCTTTCTTGATCTTCCCCCCATATTATGCTACCAGACTTTACGTTGACACTCACGTCATATACTACTTATAAGTAGTTCGCACCACAGCACCACAACAGTACCGTCAGTATCAAGCCTAACATTATCATCGAGACTAGGTTATTGTCACGCTATACTCATTAAGAATCGAATATTAGGCCATGAAATCATCATTTTTATGTAGTCATTTATTATTCTAGGACAGAATTATAACTGACATTCAAAAGTTTACTAGTGGAATGATCTACAGCGTATAGTCTGATAAAGAAAGCCAAGAAAAGACAAAGTAGAAAACCACTCAATGTCATTAACATAAAAACAAAAAGAACACTATAATAGTTAGTCTCCAAAAAGAATACATTATCATGTTTAGAAATTGTTCTAGCAGCAGTAGAAATGAGTTCTTACTGTATTTCCTAGTTAAGTGACAGCAAAGAGTATCTGTAGGCATCGATTATATGGTGAGCAATGAATCAGTCAGTTAGGATGTGAGTGATACTGGCCTTTTTAATTATTTGTGATATGTAATCACATCTTAAGAAGTGGTAAATATTTGTATAGCTATGGATATTTAATTCCATGATATTGTAAATATTTGTTTACACAGGAAGTTATTGATTAGTTGTTGTCAAACACTACTCCGTTTAATTTATACTAATTTGACTGTGAATAAATCATATATGAAACGGTATAGTTATGCATCATTCTGATTAATTTTGGCGTCCAAATAAACCCTTATCTTTCTGTTAAGATATGATGCATCAAATATTCTAAAGAAATAATTTTTGAGTCTAATTCTATTGGTCGATATTTAAGGTCGTCCTAAAATATCAAGTTCACATTTAAATGTTCTTTCCTATTGGTCAGTATTCACGGTCGACCTAACTGTATTAAATATGCATTGTCTGTAAAGTTTTATGCTCCTTTTCTTCTTCTGTACAAAACCTCATATTTTATGGGTGTTTTTAGAATACACTTTTACGCCATATCAAGACTTTTTGATGCCGTTAGTGGGGGCTTGGGATGCTCGGATTAGAGTAACCTATCGTGTCAATGGATC